TCATTTTGTGTTCTGAACAGAGAGAGAGAAAAAAAAAAGGCAGTTTGGAATGACACGAGGGTGAGAAAATGACAGAATTTTCCATTCCGGATTAACTTCACCTTTGAGATACTCAAAACAGAAAGCCCAAAATTACAGCACTGGAGATCAAGACCAGGCGTACAAGCGCAGTTGTGCAAGCGTTTGGCAGTCACGTGGAAGAGAAAGATACCGTCGTATTCATTTCGAAAAAAGGAGGAAAAGACTAAACACACACGCACACTTGCTTCTGTGTCCTTCTACTTCCACAGCACTGAATCCATAATGGTTCGTTTCACGGGAGAACAGTGAGTGAGTTCTGTGCACAGACACTGGATAGATGTGCTGCGGTCAGATCAGTGTGTGTAGGATGAGTCCGAAAGTGCATATTATAGACACACACACACATTCACACCGAGATGGCATGGCTTACACTCCCAATAGCCCTATATCTGAACATTTAGCCCCTGAATGCTTCTACAGCATCGGTCTCCATCTTTGTCTGTTTCATGTACACATAACACACATACGCACTCACACGAACACTCTACGGGAGTAAGCCAGTCCCTGAAACTGTTCTTTTGGGATGGGTCTTGTTGGCTGGTAAAATAAAAATAAATAGGTTTTTTCTCGGCCATACAAAAGAGATTGTTAGCTAGTGCCAGTCTTCATCATCTGCATCCTCCTCTTCCTCTGAGGAGTCGTCGCTGCTGGCTCTCCTCGCTCTGCTCTGATCCCCCATCGCTCCGTTCTGCTGGGCGGCCAACAAGGCGGCTGCCGCCAGCTGCTCGGCCTCCCTCTGCTCGGCCTCCCTCTGCCGGAGCGCAGCTGCCTTTTTCTCCGCCTCGGCGTGACTCTTCATGTGGGCACTGCGGCTCTTCACTTTATAGAAGATCCTGGAAAAAACACAATGTTCAGATCTTTAGGTCAGATTTCGTGAACTAGATTAACTGAACCAGATCAGTCAGATTCATGAGTTAATCATTTAAAGTGGTTCTACCCATTTATTGCAAAGACCCAACTCAAAAGAATGATTCATTCAAGTGTCAGACATGCAGATCATTGAGTCAGTTGAACTCGAGAACCAGATCAGCTGGATTCATGAACAAATCATTTAAACTGATTCAACCGATTCAATGCAAAGATCCAACTCAAAAGAAAGATTCATTCAAGAATCAGACATGCAGATCATTGTTTCCATCCAAAGATTTGAATTTAACTGGAATATCGCATAAAACATTTGCGAATAAAGCACCGTTTCCATGCAACGAGTCAAAGAAAACAAAATCGTATCACCAACAAAAAGTATCACCAAGAAAAGTAGGAGAAGCCTCTTAATATAATAGTTTTCATATATGATGAATTACTTGCACCTCAGAGCGAGCAGTTTGTGAATGCAATCGTGTGGTGTGCGATATATATCGTCTGCGATAATATCGTAATTGTTGTTTTAACGATGTGCGATTTGACATTATCGAGTATTTTGCAAAACCCATTCAAAACACCCCTACAGAGTTGCACGCTTACATTACGTGAAGTCTAGACTGCGAGTGCGCAGTTAGAGTGTGTTCTTTCACTGCATGATTCAGTCTAATAAAAAGCATTTAGAATGATCACAAAATTCAAGATATGGCGACAGAAAATGTATATATTTATATCATTTCATATAGTTAATCAATACACAAAGAGTGTCGTTTCTTTCTCCAAAAATTACCATGATTACAAACGTAATATAGATTTTTTTTTACAACCGTTCAAAAAACAAGTTAATTAAGAAACTTACGTTTTAGACACGTTTTTGCTCTATTTCGACAAAAAAATAATTCAAAACACAGCCCAGGGCTCGCAACATTTCAAAATCCCTGGTAGCCCTTTGGGCAGGTACTCTTCAGGTTTTGGTAGCCCGAAAATTAATTTAACTAGCCCAAATAAAAAAAGGCCTTTTTTTTTTAATATAGAAAATCAGATAGGAGTTTAAATGTCAATCAAAAATATTTTCAATACACAAATATCAACAAATATGAAGGAAGGAATTTTATTTCACTATTTACAGTGTATCTGCAGAATTTTTAAAAATAAATTTAAGGCAATTTATGACCCATTTTAAGAGCTGCACAAGTAAAATGAACACAGTATGAGTGGGGTTGGACAATGTCTATGGTAACATACAGTATTGAGCCATAAAATTACATGATTTACAGTTCAAATACAGGTTTTCACAAAAAACGAAAATCTTATACAACAGCATTTCAGCCTTTAGACCATTTTTATGAAAAGGGATAAATCAAGCATATAAATTATGTAAATTTAAAACATAAATATTACGGTCTTAATTAAATTTTTAGAAGGCACATTAACTTCTTTCTCATTTACAACTCTATGTGTTTGCTGTGTAAAAACATGAGTTGATAGTTGATATTTGCATTGATCTGACCATAAACCGCAAGAAAGGCTTATTGGAAATGCAAATTCATTCTCTGCCACGAGGTGGCGCTTTAGGAGTGCTGAAATATTGCGGTTTCCCCGGTAACGGCTGTACACAAAGCAGCTCCGCGTTCATACACGCTGCTTTATCAGGAATTATAGGTCAAATATAAATGGCAAGAAAGGCTTATTTATTGGAAAAATTCATTCTCTGCCACGAGGTGGCGCTTTAGGAGTGCTGAAATATTGCGGTTTCCCCGGTAACGGCTGTACACAAAGCGGCTCAGCACTCATAAAATTAAAATGCCAAGGACACCTTTCTGAGGACAGTCAGTTCCCTTCAGATACATTCAGATAAAGATATCCGCGCCCCGCGTTTTTAACTTGAAATGTGCAGTGCTCATATTTATTCAATGACATCATTGCTTTTTGAAGTTAAATAAAGCCGTATCGCGAATCTTGTCTTTCCGTACCCAACTGTAAAACCTCTTGAAATTATAATTAAGACATTTCTTATACCATTTAACGTATTTAAAACTTTTTATGGCCTTAAGTTTGATACAACTCACTTTAGGAGTTTTTAAGGACCCGCGGGAGATCTGCATTTAAGATTTAAGGGCTAGCGATTTTGCGAGCCCTGCAGCCACAGCACTGTTTTTCGTCTCTGAGGAACATGAATCAACCGTTTTTATGTTATTGGTTCAATCGCAATGACTCACTTATTAACACTGACTTGCTGCCACCTGCTGGCAGTTTTAATTTCACATTTAAAGTTTCTTTTTATTATTTAAATAATTTCAAATAACAGTATTCAACGTTTTATGTTTAATATATCAAAACATTATTCATGCATTTGTAATTTTTGTAATTATGCATTCATGTTCTGCACTAAACAGTAGTGTGTAAATACATCTAAATGCCACTTTAGACGCAGCTTCTGTGTTTCCTCTGCATTGCAAATTTCTATCAGTGTGAACTGACCACCACACAGAATATGAAGAATACCAAAAACTTTAGGAGTCTTTAAGATACAGCACAATAACATAAAATATCGTCTATTTATCGTTATCAATAAAATTCAAGAAAATATTGAGATATTATTTTTTGTCAATATCACACACCCCTACGTGTAAGACAATTATACAGAAATACTTTGATGACAGACTTTGCTCAGGTATTTCAGAACGACCAAAACAATATTTCAGATGCTGTGCAACGAGCTCGGTCCGCTGGGTAGTCACGTTATCCCGTCCCATCACGCAAAGTCACATGAGTTTTTTTAATGGGCATGGTGGAATTTATTCAGTAAATGTGTTTCCATCGTAGTTTATGCACATTTTTCTTATCGGATATAATGTTTATCCTACTCAATTGTGCACATACGTTTTTTTTATGCACATGTTTAGAATTTATGCACATCTTGGAGTTTCCAAGATCTGACTCAAAAGAATGAGTCATTCACGAATCAGACATGCTGATCATCATCAGAGTCAGTAAGCTATACCAAAGAACCGGTTTGTGAATGCATTATACAGACAAGTTTTGAAAAAACTGATTCATTGCAAAAATCCAAGTAAAAGGAATGATTTGTTCACAAATCAGACATGCAGATCACACAGTTGCACCCAAGAACCGGATCAACTGGAATCGTGAATGAATCACTCAAACTGGTTTTGTAAACTGGATCAACTGATTCATTGCAAAGATCTTACTAAAAATAATTTTGTTCATAAAATCAGCAAAGCAGATTATTTATTCAATGAGTTGAACCTGAGAACCAAATCAGCCGGATTTGTGAACTGGATCAACCAAATCATTAATTTAAATAAAAAGAATAATTTGTACATGAATCAAACATGCTGCTACTTTTCTCTTGAGATTGCCAAGGATAGTCATGGGCCGGTCAAAATATTCAGTGAATAATGACCTAAATTTGGCTGGTTTCTTATGGAAAGTAGGCGTGTAAGAAAATATCGATACACTTGAATATTGCGATATTTTGTTTGGCGATACTGTATCGATTCTCAAGAACGCAATATCGATATTTATATATTTTTTTAAATCATACAAGGTTCATGGCAGTTGTTTCGTTTTGATTTTATATCCCGTCAAAAGTCATGCGGTGTGTAAAATGTGCAATGCCAGCGTCAAATATTCGAAGAACACCATGCTTGTGTTTATAGCAGCCGCGCCGTGGCACATTTCAGAAGCGTCTCTCCGCGCTGCTTCGCTAAAGTAGGGTGACCATATGTGCTCTTTTTCCAGGACATGTCCTCTTTTTGGACCTTGAAAAAATGCGTCCGGCCGGAATTTCTAAATCGCCCAAATTGTCCGGGATTCGGCTTTTGCTTTCTACAGTCGCCATTCATAGTGTGCATTTTTGTATTAGAGCCCTGCGAGGACTGTGTCCAGTCCCGCCCACTCCCGCAAACATTCTAATATTGCATAGAATTTTTGCGCATCAGGGGGCCGCTATCAATATGCAGAGAATATAATCTCTTTTGAATGAGCGCTCGCTGTTCACTTTCACTTTTTGATTTTGTGATCACGTGCGCTCTGTGTAAATAAAGATTAGATATTTGTCAATGAGCTCAGGATCTGTTGAGCAGCAAATTCTCCAGCATGGTCTGCCAGCCATCTCTCCTCTCAACCCGTGATCAGTCAAATCTGACTCCTGCAGCTCGTGTTGGATGCTGATTTTATGCAGACGCTACAATTGTATATAATTTTGGCGCATCAGGGAGCCGCTCTCATGATGCGGTGTATTTAAATATTTTTGAATGAGCGTTTGCGCTGTTTACTTTCACTTTCGATTTTGCAATCACACGGACTCTGTGTAAAGGGAGCACATCTTACAAGATTAGATATTTGTCAATGAGCTCAGGATCTGTTGAGAAATACTCCAGCATGGTCTTCTCAGTCATCATCTCTCCTTATTCTCGACCCGTGATCAGTCAAAGCTGACTCCGGTAGCTCTTGTTGGATGCAGGGTTGCCAAGTCCGCGTTTTTTCCACAGAATTGGGCTACTTTTAAACTGTTG